CCTTTACTAATTCCAACCATCTTCTCTGCCTCATATTAAGTTCCTTCTGCGTGAACAGGTACTTAAGACTTTTGTGATCAGTGAATACTTGAATTTTTTCTCCATACAAATAATGTCGCCACGTTTTTAGTGCAAACACCACTGCTGCTAACTCGAGGTCATGAGTAGGATAATTCCTTTCATATTCCTTCAGTTGTCTGGAAGCATAAGCTATCACTTTACCCTTCTGCATGAGCACGCATCCAAGACCTTTTCCCGATGCGTCGCTGTACACCACAAGATTTCCTGATCCATCAGGGACTGTGAGGACTGGAGCTGTCACTAACCTCTCCTTGAGTTCCTGGAAGCTCTGCTCACAGGCTGATGTCCACAAAAAAGGCTTGCCTTTCTTAGTTAACTGAGTTAATGCTGAAGATATCTTGGAGAAATCCTGGACGAACCTTCTGTAGTAACCAGCTAGTCCCAGAAAACTCCGTACCTCAGTGACTGTGGTCGGTCTTGGCCACTTCATCACTGCCTCAATTTTAGCTGGGTCTACTGTGATTCCTCTACTAGACACCACATGACCCAAAAACGCTACCTCAGACAGCCAAAATTCACACTTGGAAAACTTAGCGTACAGTCGCTGTGTTCTTAGTATGGTCAGAACTTTTCTCAAATGCCCTTCGTGCTCTGCTTCTGACTTGGAGTACACCAGGATATCATCAATAAACACTATAACAAAAGTGTCTAAGAATTCTTTAAACACTCTGTTCATTAATTCCATGAAGACGGCTGGTGCATTGGTAAGTCCAAAGGACATGACGAGAAATTCATAATGTCCATAGCGACTTCTAAAAGCTGTTTTGGGAATATCTTCTTCTCTTATTCTCAATTGATGATATCCTGACCTCAAGTCAATTTTAGAGAATACCGATGCTCCCTGCAGCTGGTCAAACAAATCGTCGATCCTCGGGAGGGGGTACTTATTCTTTATGGTGACCTTATTCAATTCTCTGTAATCTATACACAGGCGCAGGGATCCATCTTTCTTCTTGACAAACAGGACAGGGGCTCCCCAGGGCGACACACTGGGTCGTATGAAACCCTTATCCAATAGGTCCTGTAACTGTTCCTTCAATTCCCTGAGTTCTGCAGGTGCCATTCTGTAGGGTGCCTTGGAGATCGGCGCAGTTCCTGGTTCTAAGTCGATCCCGAAGTCAACTTCCCTAACAGGGGGCAAACTTGGCAAATCCTCAGGAAAAACATCAACAAATTCCCTGACAATGTGCACTGACGAGACTGCCTGTTCAACACTGCTATCTAGAGTCACACTAGCTAAAAATGCACTTGCACCACCGCGGATCATCTTTCTAGCCTTAAGTGCAGTTACGACACTTGGGGTTCTTTTGGAAGTGGCTCCCTTATATGAAAAACTATCCCCTGACGGGAGTCTGAAAGTAACTATTCGAGTTTCACAATCAATAAGAGCACGATTCTCGCCTAGCCAATCCATACCCAAAATGATGTCATAGTCTTGCATGCTTAAAACTATAAAGGTAGCTTCTAAGACTCGTCCCGACACTGTCACATTACCTCTTTTAACTCTATGTGTAGCCATTAATAACTCGTGAGCAGGGGTGGACACTGATAGAATGGTCTCCAAGGGTTCTTTTTCTAGGTGTGCTAGGTCAACGAATTCCTCGGACACAAATGAGTGTGTAGAACCCGAATCAAATAGTACAAAAGCTAAGTGACCAAAGACTGGTAGCGTACCTGTAACAACCGCGTCGGGTGCATCGGCCTGTCTGCCTGTAGTTGCATGGGCTACAGCTCGCCCCTGCTGCTGTTGGGCACCCCGACCCCTTTGATTCTTAGCTACAGGTCGATTGGTGACATCATCTCTCCGTTGAGAGCAATTTGCTGCATAGTGTCCCATCTGGCCACAATTATAGCATACATTAGTCCCCAGGCGACACTCTCCCTGGTGAGTACGTTGACACTTAGGACATTGATTCCTGTTCTGTGCTGGGGTTCTTCCGCGATTGGCAGTGCCACCACGGGGTGGTCTGTTAGTCCTGGGATGATTTCGATTTATCTGTTTTCCCTGGACTGCGATCTGGGAGTTTTGGGTTGACCCTGCTTGTAATCTGTCAGTGCGAGGTGCATCTATGAGGGTAGCCATCTTAAGAGCTGCTGTATAGTCTGAGGATGCCTGAGATGCCACATAACCTCTAATGTTCTCCCTTAGGCCGGCGATAAAACGTTCAGCCTTAAGCTCTTCAGTACTGACATATATAGGAGAGAATCTAGACAATCTATTAAACTCCTGATCATAATCCTCCACNCCACAAGATTTCCTGATCCATCAGGGACTGTGAGGACTGGAGCTGTCACTAACCTCTCCTTGAGTTCTTGGAAGCTCTGCTCACAGGCTGATGTCCACAAAAAAGGCTTGCCTTTCTTAGTTAACTGAGTTAATGCTGAAGATATCTTGGAGAAATCCTGGACGAACCTTCTGTAGTAACCAGCTAGTCCCAGAAAACTCCGTACCTCAGTGACTGTGGTCGGTCTTGGCCACTTCATCACTGCCTCAATTTTAGCTGGGTCTACTGTGATTCCTCTACTCGACACCACATGACCCAAAAACGCTACCTCAGACAGCCAAAATTCACACTTGGAAAACTTAGCGTACAGTCGCTGTGTTCTTAGTATGGTCAGAACTTTTCTCAAATGCTCTTCGTGCTCTGCCTCTGATTTGGAGTACACCAGGATATCATCAATAAACACTATAACAAAAGTGTCTAAAAATTCTTTAAACACTCTGTTCATTAATTCCATGAAGACGGCTGGTGCATTGGTAAGTCCAAAGGACATGACGAGAAATTCATAATGTCCATAGCGACTTCTAAAAGCTGTTTTGGGAATATCTTCTTCTCTTATTCTCAATTGANCTATTTTGCCACCTTCGAAGGAAGGCGGTTTTTGCCTCTGAAAATCCTTAAGATAACGAGCCTCTATGGTCATAGTTCCAGAGTCCCTGTTTCCCAGCAATGCTGTCTGTTGCATTGCTGCCTGTTGCGTGGCTGTCTGTTGCATTGCTGTCTGTTGTAATGTTGTCTGTTGCAGCGTTGCCTGTTGAATGGCCTGTTGCATCATGGCCTGGTTAATGACCAGTGTTTGCATCATCTGAGCCATTTGAGCCTGGTTTTCCATAGAGGTTAACATAAAAGACTGTACTACATCTGTAGTGAGGATAGTAGTTGGTTGTCTAGGTGGAACCTCCACGTTATCGGTGGGCACTGATGGGACCGCATCAGGAGGAGGAGCAGTAGAGTCTGCGTCCGGTAAGTCTTGAGTCACTGCTCTCCTCTGACTCATTCTTGACCTTGGTGCCCGTGGTATAGGACATTCAAACCATTCAGGCATTTCTTCAACCTCCTCTTGAGGTTCAGGTACAGGTTGTTCCGCCTCAGGAGACGGGACATCAGTGTTCTGAGCGACTCTTCTTCTTCCCCTTCTANAGAAATTCATAATGTCCATAGCGACTTCTAAAAGCTGTTTTGGGAATATCTTCTTCTCTTATTCTCATTTGATGATATCCTGACCTCAAGTCAATTTTAGAGAATACCGTTGCTCCCTGCAGTTGGTCAAACAAATCGTCGATCCTCGGGAGGGGGTACTTATTCTTTATGGTGACCTTATTCAATTCTCTGTAATCTATACACAGGCGCAGGGATCCATCTTTCTTCTTGACAAACAGAACAGGGGCTCCCCAGGGCGACACNGGTCAGAACTTTTCTCAAATGCCCTTCGTGCTCTGCTTCTGACTTGGAGTACACCAGGATATCATCAATAAACACTATAACAAAAGTGTCTAAGAATTCTTTAAACACTCTGTTCATTAATTCCATGAAGACGGCTGGTGCATTGGTAAGTCCAAAGGACATGACGAGAAATTCATAATGTCCATAGCGACTTCTAAAAGCTGTTTTGGGAATATCTTCTTCTCTTATTCTCAATTGATGGTATCCTGACCTCAAGTCAATTTTAGAGAATACCGATGCTCCCTGCAGCTGGTCAAACAAGTCGTCGATCCTCGGAAGGGGGTACTTATTCTTTATGGTGACCTTATTCAAATCTCTGTAATCTATACACAGGCGCAGGGATCCATCCTTTTTCTTGACAAACAGGACAGGGGCTCCCCAGGGCGACACACTGGGTCGTATGAAACCCTTATCCAATAGGTCCTGTAACTGTTCCTTCAATTCCCTGAGTTCTGCAGGTGCCATTCTGTAGGGTGCCTTGGAGATCGGCGCAGTTCCTGGTTCTAGGTCGATCCCGAAGTCAACTTCCCTAACAGGGGGCAAACTTGACAAATCCTCAGGAAAAACATCAACAAATTCCCTGACAATGTGCACTGACGAGACTGCCTGTTCAACACTGCTATCTAGGGTCACACTAGCTAAAAATGCACTTGCACCACCGCNGCATTTCTTCAACCTCCTCTTGAGGTTCAGGTACAGGTTGTTCCGCCTCAGGAGACGGGACATCAGTGTTCTGAGCGACTCTTCTTCTTCCCCTTCTAGGTCCAGGCCCGAGATAGGTTCCACTTCTCTTAGGTGCCATTTAGCTACCACAATGAAAACTTTGTGGTTACATTACATACAGGGTTCATCCTCTAGGAAATGCGTTGTAAAACACAAGAGAACAGTCATGAAAAAGAAAACTCTCTACTTCATATCTTATCTCTTAATTTCGCAATTCAGATTCGTGAGACTGTCTGGTCACGAGCAGCACGTGATTGATGGGCGCGTCACAGAGGATACGACTCTCTAACCTAAGTGTCTACAGGACCTATGTCCTGGTGCTCTGATACCAAATTTGTCACGACCCGAAAAAAAAACATAATCCTTAAGCCGTGACTAACATTGTATGACATGTAATGTATAAACGAGAAATTCAAGGAAGTCATTTGTTTCATAGAAAAACGTATCTTTATTAAAAGGACATAAGTGCCCAGGTAAAAACAAGAGAAGAAACATTAAGGTCAAAGTGAGCTATTCAATATACTAGACTGACGCCCCGGGACACGCTTCCTCTGTGACAACCCACATCGATCGACGCGCCCTCTCTTGACTCGACGCCTCACGTACCTGAAAAAAAATAAAGGTATAACAGGAATGAGTATAAAAATTATACTCAGTAAGCCACCTACTTGTAGGCTCTTATCGCACCCTAAACTTAGCAGACGATCACGGACTTTCCTTTGGCTCTAGAACAACTGAATCTGGCCTTACCTCATTAGGGCTTACTCTCTTGGAACTTATCCCTTTGGACTTCTTTGGTTCTTAGACCTTTTATTTAAACCCATAGAGTTCCATTTATGCTAACCTGTGTTGGACTGGTGCCATACGAGTGGCTACCTCGGCATGGGTATGAGATTATCTGGGGTCTTGCCTAGGAAGTGAGCTGCAACCCCCTAGACCCATGATAATCCCCCTGTATTTGGGAGGGCTACCTCCCCTATTCCATCCAGCTAACGGTCAATTACGACGTGGGTATCCCGTTTCCCATACTAAACGGCTATCGAGCAGTCGAGTCCTGATCAGGAACCCGCTGGTCCCCCACGAAGCTATATCACCATCCACGCACAAGTAGCCTAAGGGTACTCTAAGGATGTTTCATGTGCCGTGATGGTCTGTTAAACTAATAGGGAAAGATTAAGTCTATCCCTTGATGGCTTGTCGCTCTAACCGTAGTCTACTAGTCTTATTCATAAAGGTGGCCATGAAGATAACCGAGTACGTACATAACTATTATCCAAAAAAAAACCTCAAACACATTTCATGCAAAGTAATCATACAAGCTCGACGGGGTGATAACATCCATCAACTCCCGGAGCACAGAGTTCGCAATTTTCCCATCCTCCATTCAGCAAAAAGATATACATATGCATGAAATAAAATGGGAACTAAAAGCATATAAGCAGTATCCAAGTAACGCTCATTACAAATCACAGCATACATCTTACTTTCAATAATCTATTCCTCCAAGAACATTACGGAAAGCTACAACCTAAGGTAACTCAAACTAGCATGCATGCATCCCAAGCGGTTCCTACAAGTATTACTTCCTAAATTCCGTGTGGCGACTTACTTGGATGCTACGTGCCCTTACGCAACGTTTCCACACACTTGGCGTATCGAGAGGGGGTGATTTTTCCTCAATAAGGTCCTATTTCATACAAACAAATGGAGTTAGGATATGAATCAGGGGGAAACTAGGGAAAACAGAAGTCGTTCGGGCCAAAAATCAGCTTACACGCGCCTCCACGCGCCAGTCACACGCCGGGGAGCAGCCACTCGCAGATCCCACGCGCGAGTGTCACGCGCCCAGAGATTTCTGCAGTCGCGGGTCGCGGGTCGCGG